GATACACAATTAATGAGGTATTTTTTTATTTATTTAACCCTTTAAAGCCCGATCCAAGAACAAAACAAAACAGAAAATTACTTTTTTTTTGGTTTGAATTCCTTATTTGGCCTTTTAACAAAATATGTAAAAAGAAAAAACAGAAATACATTTTTGATGTTAATAATTTTTTACTATGTGATAAGTCAAGATTATTTTTTGTTTAGTCTTCTACGGGCTGTTATCAGGTATATCTGATTGTGTACTATCGGATTTTTAGCTAAGTTTTTACCATTAAATTATGCAAAAGGTGTCAGATGCAAAACATTTCAGAAAACGTATGTATCAAATACGATACATTTGGCATTATAGGGTTAAAGACCTAGGACTTGCTTTACCCCGGTAGTAGGAATCCCAGGGAATTCATTAAGCAGCTGTTTTTATTACTCTGAAAGGCCCATTATATCAGCTTGAAAAAGCTGCACAAAAACCTTCAGTCCAGCAAGTGGCCACTGGACTAAACAACACTTAACTGGTTTTACACTTTACTCCTAGTGGCGTTTAGATTAATTATAACACACTGTTTACTCCCTTTAGAGGATGTGATATTTTGTTTTCGTTGTTTTGGCTCATAAATAATAATTGATGCTTTAAAGTTATGCAGTAATTAAGCCAATGATTTTAGAAGCACAGACATTATATGGTTTCGTTTGGAGATGCAGGTGAAGACATTCTGGGTTCTAGTCCAGCTTTTTGTGACATATTGAACTGAAGGAAGTGTTTTCAGGCTATGCTTTTATAACCATTTGTACTTTTTTAATGATCTATTTACAATTCACTGTACAAGTATAGATTAATTTTTTTATTTTAATTTCAGTTACATAATAGGAGTAAGTTATGGTGGCCAGACGGTTTAAAAAAATGACGGGCCTGAAATTATTTTAAAGTTCCCTGCTGCCTCTGATTAGGACACAGAGGGTCAAAAGAGCGCCTTATGTGCTGGATATGGGGATTTTTTTTTTTATTAGACATTCATATTAAGTATTATTAGGGATTTGATATCTACAGAGACTGAAAATATCTACAGCTGAGGTG